GATTTGTTATGGTAATGAGGAGTCCTGGTGTGGCGCTTTGGAATAAAGCACTGGACCAAAAAATTGGTTTGAATCCAAGGTCAGTGGTTCAAAGTCACCAGCCGCTCCTTGGAAACACTTTACAGGGTTGCTAGGAGTCAGAACTGACTCAATGGTACTTAACAACAACAACAATGGTAATGAGCACATGAAATAATAATTACAAAGTTTGGAAGTCTTCAAGTCAAAAATTAAAGAGGTTTCAACAAAAGAGAATCCTAGGACTGGATTTTTTTAAGTCTACTAACACACGCGGTTGAATGACTGTGTTCCATTAATACACAGATCACACTCGCCAGTGTGACAGCAAATACTATCATTACTTCTAAAGGAGACAGTAAAAATACCCATGTGTGGATTGGCTAACTGGCATATTGATCTGTGAAAGACTGTCCAGGAGACTCTGCGGCCAGGAGGAGCATTGTCAATGGCATGTCTGCTCCCGAGCTCCACATGTTCATTCTGTGCAATGGTTTTAGTTCAGAGGCCCATCAGAGGATGTCTTGTCCAGTGACTCTCCCCAGGCCAAAGAAACCTGTAGCTTTGCAAGGCTGGGAATCTCTTATTCACATTTGCTCTTTTACTTCACATGGAGTTGACTGCCTTTTGTTCCATCCAGTCCAAGTAGGGATGTTTGATATCCTCCTACTTCTTCTTCGCATTTCATTTGACTAGTATGTGTGTCCTGAAGCAACCAAATTGAAAACACAATGAACAATTCATTTACAATCAGGAGGAAAAAAATACTCTCTGAGGAATCAATTAAAGATGTTTTCTTCTGTGTGTGTGAATTGTTTTTTGATTGCCTGAAATGATTCTGTCATTAAGTGTAGAGAAAGATCCATTGATGAAAATGTTATATTTACCTCTCCACACATTTTAAACTTTTTATGTGTAGAACATAGAGAAGGATTTAGATCTACAGTTTCTTCACATCTGATTTCTTAGCATCTGATGGATTTACAGGTGCTAATTGGAAATATGAAAAAGAAACAATTTTCAATGGAGCTATACTGGATTCCCAGAGTTGATAACGACACGATTTTGTGCATAGCAAAATTTTTTTTATATAAAACCATCTAGAAAAAAATTTTTAAGATTATTATTATAAATGTGATTATTATTAACATGACATTTACCCATTTTAAAATAATAGAATATTATAGGTAGGCAGGTGGAGATGTAGCTCCAAAGTCCACAAATTTATTAAAAGAAAAGAATCACTGAAAATACAGCCAGTCACCAGTTACTTTTCTCATTCAATGCTCTCTTTCACCATCACTTTTAAATAATTGCTTCTTTGCTTTGCTTTAAAACCTGGCTAAGCACAAGATCCAGATCTGGGCAAATGTCAATCCGTTCCTGAATGAATGATTTAACAGGCTTGCATGGGAAATTTTGTATGCCTTCAGTAATCTTTTTCATAAATTGGGTTCATTCCACTCTATTCAATTACCCTGAACACACATGTCAGGATTTTTTTGTTGTTGTTCCCTCAAGTGTAAAATAAGTTCTGGTCAAACTAATGAATGTGGTTCTGTGCCTGTGTGCCTTATGAAATAAAAAGCATTAAAAACATCTTTCAAAATCAAAATAAAATATGTTCAAGAAAAACTGCTTTTGGGTATTGATACAGACAGGTCTAATTGAGTCTCAAATCTTGAAACAAAGGTCTAAGCTCACATGTTCTATCCCACTGAGAATAGAAGTCTATTTTTCTCCAGGTCTCACACTGGGCTGTCCAGCAAGCCTTGTGGCTAAATGAATAGTGAACAATCTGAGGCCGTGGCAGAGGTGAACTGAAATGCATCAGCACCAACTAAGGAATTATAGACCTCAGCTGCAGATGGAAAAATGGGCAAAAGAAGTATCAGCCGTGGGCAGGTTAAACGAAAGTGCTAACTATAAGGGAGAAGCTTGAAGCCAGAAGTAGAGCATTTTCTTGTACTTTTTAGAAGGCAGCTGCCCTGAGGTATACCTGTATTTCTGAAGACACCTGTCTGCACAGGCTGCCCATGTTGGGCTTGTGTTACAAACTAAAGCAGACACATTCTGATCCCAGCTATCTCAGATGTCTAGGATATAACATCAAAAGGAAACCAGTTAGCAAAACTCTGAAATAATATGTTATGTCTTCTTTCTTTAGAAAAAGACACATGTTTTGGAGTGTCTGATGAAGAGCTGGGAGGTTCACAATGCATGGCATAAAATGGTATTTAATTTTATAGAAGCAATTCTTCAGAGTCAAGCTGAATTTGCATTATGTAAAAATTGTCCTTTGATCGCCCTCTTTTAGTGTGCACTGCATTCAGATATGCAGACACAGGCTTCGAATTGGTTTCTAAAATGACTGTTTGTAAAGGGTCATTGGCAGAGATCATCTTGAAAATGACCCTAGCCATTTTAGAGCAGCAATTTTGCGCAGGTTTTATAAGGATTAGAATTCAAAACACCATAGGAATGGATTCAGACCAGCTTATCTTGGAAAGAAAAAAGCATGGAGTTAACCATTTGTCTGGTTTTGCTCATAACTGATTGAGGTTTACGTTTATTTTCTGTATTTCACCCGTAATAGATGCCTCACTACAGTATCTATGGAGAAAAACCCCATTTTGTTGGTTCGCTTTTTTTTTTCTTAGACCCTAAAAATAATCTAAATTATTCTACCCTTTGAACATTTTTCCTTGAGAAACACTGAAGGTATTGCCCCCCAAACAGTAAGAAATGTACTTATGATGTCGCTGATATTTCTGGTGACTTGTATCATCCTAGACTGGGAATTGTAATTTCTAACTCATAGGGCCCCTATGTACAACAGAAGGAAACATTGCCTGGTCCTACACCATCCTCACAATCCTTATTATGCCTGAACCCACTGTTTCCATCACCGTCAATCATGGGAACAAAAGCCTGGGAATAGAAGTTGATGGCGGAAGAACGAAATTTTGCGGTGGGATGTAAACATATTTACCTTTGTGTGGATCAGGGTGTATTTGTCTCTGCATGAGCTGTCAGCCAGAAGGCAACAGGATTCTTGTCAGCTTGCTTATGGTCACTGCTGATTCACTTGGCAGGCCTCTCTCATCTATTGGTCTCAAAGAAACTCTATTGCAAAGGAAGAGCATGCCTCACTGAATACACAAGTTGAGGGTAGGTCACACATAGTCTGTCTTCCTGCCCTGGATTTCACCACTCAGCCTCTGGAGCTGCCACTTGAAGGGGACGCCAGCAGAGAAGTCCAGGCCAGATGGATGAAAGCTTGGCAGAGAATGAAGCAACGCCTCTGCCTTTGACTTAGTTTCTGCCACCTTTTATCCTTGTCCTTTTTAAGGGTGTTTTTCTGACAGCCATCAAGCCCCTCTCTCTTCCAGGATCAGCTTTGAACCCCTGCCTTTCTTTTCCATATCTTTTCTTCCCTTTCTTTTGTCTCTACATTTCTACCCAACTTTCCTAACTTGCCTCACTTAAAAAACAATGCATCCCAAAGGTTCCAATGACTAGTGGATTTATGTACTAGTGGGGATTATGTTTGTCATCGTCATAATCACCCTGTTGAGTAGGCACTGCTGGGTAGATGCTATTAAAATCCCCAGTGCACAAATGAAAATATTGAGACCCAAATTAGTTATACTGTATCCAGAATTCCACAACTAGCAAAAACAGAGCCGGTATTCATACCAAGCTCTGCTGGGCCCCAGAGCAAGCATTTTAAACTATTATACAGAACTCCCAACAAAAAAGAAATGTAACGTGTTGTTTTCAGAGAAAACAAACATTCAGGTGTGTGTGTTGAGCTCTTTGTAAACTGTGAGGTAAATTTGTAGCTGAAAAGACTTCACGTCAGCCTTGAGTGCTTCCCTGCAACTGAACAAACTGGGACTAAAGAGACACAGAATGGAGTCTTGTTGGGTGACTGGACGCTGGGTTGTTCTCACTGCAGGCTGTCCACTTTTGCATATGTTTACAGCAGC